ACGGCAGTACTGTGATAACACTTAACGGCACAGATTTTACTACACATTTTTTACTACATAGTTTTTTTCCATATGTTTGACTGACTGTACTTTATTATGATAATGAACAGGCTGCAATGTCAATGGGTGTAGCTCCGTCATTTTTTGTCCGATTCCAACAAAGTCTTTTAATGGAGAATGTCATTTTTTAATTTTTTTTTAATTGCTCATTGTGACTCGTTTTGTCTTCCAACAAATCATACATCATTTTGATGGTCTTTTAATGGAGAATGCCATTTTTTTACTGCTCATTGTGACTCGTTTTGTCAGCACAGGTCACATTATTCTCAGGAGGAAGCACATGTGGAGGTGGAAAATTACAACAACGTATACACAATGTTTCAGATGGTATGGCAAGTGTAAACACATTAATTGGATGTGGGTCACAATTCAAAGAACGTGTAAATGGACAGCCAAAAAAAACGGATATAGGCAACAAATCAGGATTGGGCATCAAGACCTGCAGTGTAAACGAGCCTAAGTAAAACATAAGAATCAAAACATATATCATCACCCAAGTATTTTGAACCTTTGCTTATCTTATTCGCACTGCTCTGCAAGACCACCATTTCAGAATCCTGCTATAAGACAACAGTCAAACCCCCACACTAGCAGTCGGATCCCCCGCATTCCTGCGCCTGAGAAGAAGCACTATTATGTATCCCCTCCTACTCTGTGACAGAGGTACTCCGCCAACTTCCTAGTAAGGACATTATGGAACGTAAAAAGAGAGTGTATTAATAGAGAGGATTATTCCTCAGGAATATTTGCATTGCAGCACGTGTGCGCGTTTCCATGGCACTGGTTGAGTTAATGCACAACTGGCCCAAAGCTCCTGCGCTCAATGCAGCAGACACGCAACACTGCAGCTGCTGCTCCCAGATAATGATGTAGCCTGATATCACATATTCAATCAGCAGAACTTAACTGAGCTGAAATGAAAAGACTTCTCATCTGTTCGTGATAGACTCCCTTAGTCTTGATGCTGCAATCGCTGAGGGATCAACATACGTGTAAGAAAAGGAGGTCTAGATGTGTTTATTTAGATGTGTGATACAAAACCTGTGCTTTCTCACACTTTGCTTTCAGTCTCTTTTCACTCCTCTGTCTTTTTCATGAGTTCTCTTGTGATTTCTGCATTGCTTTACTGGATAATGGTAGCCAAAAATAGCCCTAACCCTAAGTTCACCAAAATTGAAAATTGTCATTATTAACTCACTATAATGTTGTTCTAATTATATATGCTGTTAATATAGTTCCGAACATGAATTCTGAAATTTTATGCTGTTCTTAATGCAGCGCTTTTCAATGTGTACACACATCAGTACCATATCAGGTATTGGCAGATTTTTGTAGTATTTATTTATTGTAAATATTGGGCATTTAATTATGCATGCTCATCATGTTTACATTAAGATTTCTATTGCAGCAATCCAAAGCTCATTTAAAGTTGATTATTAAATATACTAATTTAATAACATAGTTAAATATAATCTTTAGCAATTCCAACATGAATATTTTGTAGCATTAAAAATGATTAATTTGCAACTTTACAGATCTTCTTTATGCACCAAGAGCTTGTAACACTTCAGAGAGAAAGGAAAAATTTAAATCGCATCATATGATCCCTTTAAAGTGTTTTATGTGTAATTTATTTAGACAAAATAGTACTTAATTTGAATATTGGCCATTAATCAATTATTGCCAGAACACAAAAATTAAACAAAAATATCCTTGACCATTCTGCATATTATAGTTAATGACACATTCAGTGGCATTTCATCATCAGTGAAGTAAAAGATGGCATGATGGACCATATTTAAATGTGAGGAGGGGAAAATCATTCAATAGTGGCTTAAATTTGGTCTGATTCTCACAAAAAATGATTGAATGGAGTTTTTAATGAAAGTTTCTTCTGTGTGATGCTTCCTTTAGTGTGGTGCCAAGTCCAGGTGGCTTGTTTTTGCACACGCAGACTGTAATCATTATTGATTGCCCTTCTCCACTCTGGGTAACCAATGTTTTTTTCCATTTTCTATGACGGTAGGCACAAAAGGACATTTAATGAAAGTTGACTGTATTGGTTTCTCATTAGATGTCAGATGTGTTTTCATAAACTCATACAAGCAGAAGAGTATTAAAGGGATGCTATTATGCTCTTTTACAAAGTCTTGATTTTGTTTTGGGGGTGTACTAGAACAGGCTCTTATACTAGGTTGTTCGAAAAACACATTCTTTTTCACATATTTTACATTATTAACACCTCTCTCCCCAGTCTGGCATGAACTGCTCGAATAGTTCCTGTGTCAAATGAAGGCCCACCTTCTGAAATACAATGTGTGCTGTGATTGGTTAGCTGGGCCAGTGTGTGTTGTGATTGGTTAGCTGATTGGCAGCACTCGGCGCCTGGTCGGGAAATGTCATGCCCCTCCATAGCCGCCTGCGAGCTTCAATGTAAATATTGCGTCAAAATCAAATTTGAGCGCGCTTTAAACCCAGATGATTGTAGCCACTCTAAGTTCGTCTGCCTTGGGAAAGTTAGCGTGTCTCCGACATATTGATACCACTCGTTGCCTTCTCTAGTGCAGCTCAACCAGGTCTCGTCCCATTCGTCGATATTTGTGATATCACAAATCCCGGAAAATATGCGTTGTAGTCCTAACGAGTCATTCGTTGTAGTTTTTGAAGTGATTTCTGTTAAATAAAATATCTGCTTTTGAAGTGGACTGAGCGTTGTAACTTTGCAGATCTTTTTTATGCTCAAACAGCAACATTACAGACTAACTAAAGTTGAAAAAGTGAAAAAGCATAATAGGACCCCTTTAAAGCTTGCTCTGATAATGTCATTACATTGACCTTCTGTCTTTCCACACTAAAAATGTTTGTCAGTACTTGACAGCTCCAAAAGCTGTATCTTCCAAAAGATGTTTTGAAATGTCATGTTTTTTTTGGCATATTGACATTTGTACACTAGGAAGTTATTTTTCTAAAATTCAACTATGATTGGTCCACCTTAATCACTGAATAATGCCAACCTTTTTTTATTAACCATTTAAGCAGAAATACACCGTAAAAAGTAAAAATAGAGTAATTGTTATTTAGACCATCATATCTGACCGATTAGAGACAAAATAAAGCAAAAAAAAACCAATGTTATGTTAACACAATCCAGATTAAGAGCAAGCGTCTGGTGCGGCTGTGTTTTGAACCCTGAGGTCATAGCAGAGATATGTCTGCTGAAGTTCAGTCCAGCTCAAGCAAGATATTATGGGAATGCGTCTTGCTGCCCCTGATACCAGTGTTTAGAAGGAGTTAAGACACCCTGTTCCTGACCCCGCATGTGGAAGAGAGGGAGGTTGAAACGTGTTGACACTGAACAGCTTCAGGTTGTTTGGCTAGTCTTTATCATATGCTCTATTTTAAGTTTGCAGACTTCCTGGATTTGCTTTGTCTTATTGGAACCACAAACTCATCTTGGACATTACAATGAGAAAATCTAATAAGGCATGTTTGTGTCTGTGTGCACTTGATACTTTTCTGACTTACAGTTCCCAATTAATTACTTGGCAAGCATGCAACCACATATTCAGGATTGGGGTAACTAAATGCAATAATTTATTAAATACTGTGGAAAAAACAACTTTGATGAACTGCTAATTACTAATTGGGCCCCCCTCAATGTGTACTGTGGTTTTGGGGCCTGCTTTGTAGTTAAGGAATAGATCACCCAAAAATGAAAATTTGCTGAAACTTTACTCACCCTCAGGCCATCCATGATGTAGATGAGTTTGTTTCTTCATCAGGACAGATTTGGAGAAATTTAGCATTACATCACTTGCTCACCAATGGATCCTCTGCAGTGAATGGGTGCCATCAGAATGAGAGTGCAAATAGATCCATAAGTCATACACACAACTCCAGTCCATCAATTAACATCTTGTGACGTGAAAAGCTGCATGTTTGCATGACAAAGTCCTCTCTGTTGTCCTCTAACTTCAAAATCTACCAACATATTTGTTTATAACAGTTTCTGACTGTTTTTGCTTGTATACTCTGCTTAATCTTTGCATACTTCTCTCCTGATTCAGACAAGATGAGTTTTTCATTGAGTAAAAAGCGATATTGTGGATAGATGACTTAGATTAGTTTCTTACAGAAACACAGCTTTGCACTTCACAAGATGTTAGTTGATGGACTGGAGTTGTGTGGATTACTTGTGCATTATTGTGATGTTTTTAATCAGCTGATGGCACCCATTTATTGATGAGGATCCACTGGTGAGCAAGTGATGCAATGCTAAATTTCTCCAAGTCTTTTTCGACAAAGAAACAAACTCATCTACATCTTGGATAGCCTGAGAGTGATTACATTTGAGCAAAATTTTGCACGTTTTCATTTTCTGACAAATTATTCCATTAACCCTCAGTGATTCACTATAGCAACACTTGTTTAAAACAATTGCATAATAGCTATTTCACTAAATATGAGTTTTGTGATAAACATCTCCTTCTGAAACGTATCATAAAAATAGTTTGGCAGACATTTATTACAGAAACTCCCAGAATGCCAGGGTTGCACAACAGACTCTATTGAGTAAATCATAGATAAACTACTCCAGATGATTGTCAGCATAATCTAATGAAACTTTATTAGAGTGCTCTGAGATTGAATATACTGAAAATAAAACATAAATCATGAATTTTATAACAAGTGGCTTCTTAAAATCACACAAAAGAAGATCTTTTGAGTGATGACTCAATTTTTTTTATGTCCATACGATAAAAGTTAGTAGGGTCCAGTGCTGTTTGGATTAAGTAAATGATGACAGAATTTTTGGGTAAACTATTGTTTTAAGGGAACAGCACATATATTATCAATATCAATGTTTGGGTCTCTGAAGGTGAAAGAGTAAGCTGTCAAGTTCCATATTGTTTGATGTTGTGTTCTGCTTTCATTTCTAGCTCGTGTGCAATGTCCTGATCTTCTCCTGCACTAATATAGTTGGAGTGTGCACACACTACCCAGCAGAAGGCTCACAGAGGCAAGCCTTCCAGGAGACCAGAGAATGTATTCAAGCCCGCCTGCACTCTCAGAGAGAAAACCAGCAACAGGTGAGAGTTGTCCAGATATCATGAGAGCACATTTTAATTTCTAGTGACTTTCTGTGAGTCTGAAAGATTTAATGTTTAATATGAAGATTCTCCAGGCACAGATATATACACTATCATTCAAAAGTCATTAGTCAGACAGATTATTATTGATCAAATAAATGCAGGCTTGGTGAGCATAATAGATATCTTTCAAAAACATTTTTAAAAAATCTTACATTTCTAAGTACCATAATCAGGTACCCAAAGTACCATAATTAATACCATGGTATTTATTTAAGCACCTGGGAGAACCATATAAAAACTGAAGAATATTAGCATGCAACATTCCGTGCAAGGTTCCTTTTTTTTTTCTTTTCTTTCTTTCAGACTCAAATATGTGTGGGGAAATAGCCTCAGATTTGCTTGGAATGAAGCTAAATGAATGAAAAGTCTTTCAGCTGGAGTCCATTCATATGTCCATTGATTTTCAGTAAAGAATTGAAACCGTGAGAAAACTAGTGCACGGAGACATGCAGTGCTGATTCATTTGTGAGATTAGAACCACATCCTAGAACAGTTCATAGTGGCAACAAAGTAAAAAAAAATAATGTCCGTTTCTGCAAACACAGAAGCCCACAGAGGCCATTCATCATTTTTTCAATAAACATATAATTTTTTTTTTTTCATATCAAGCGTTTTGAAAATAACACTATGGCCTCTAGATGACTTATCAGTATTAAATAACTATTTTTCTTGCCACAGTTAGTGTACTATATGGAATATTTATTTGTGTGTTTTTTTTTTCTTTTCTTTTGTTTGTTTGTTGGTTCTTTACTAATTTATTTTATATATTGGCTCTTTTTTTCCTTTGATTATTTTATTTTATTTATCAGTTCTTTTTATTTATTTGAATTTATACAGTGAATAAAAACTGTACTTTTTTAGTTTCTGTATAAATTCATATAAATAAGTATACAAATAAATAAAAATAAACCAAAATCAGCATTGTTCAGTATGTATGTATCGAAATACCATAATGTTAGCATCTGATACCTTGCTTTTAGTAAGTGGTATAGGGCTAAATTAGAATGAATGTAATTTTCTGCAGTGTACTTCAGTTTTCTCTATTCCTGTCTGTAAGATGATACCCATGTCTTTCGGCAGAGAAAAATGGATTGAGTAGATACACATGGCACTCTTCTCTTTGTTTCTACCTGTCTTTCCCTTACTATCACTGTCATCATTTGCAGGAACGCCTCCTCCTCTCTGTGCTTCCTCGAAATGTCGCCATGGAGATGAAAGCCGACATAAATGCCAAACAAGAGGATATGATGTTCCACAAGATCTATATTCAAAAGCATGACAATGTGAGGTAAGAGTGACTCCTCAAACAGGCTGAAAGACGGTAGTCAGTGTTTGCATCTCAAAGCACTTTTAAAGCCTTTTCAGTCCACAGTAATCATTGCAATTATTTTTTACTATAATTATGTTAGTACTTAGTTAGGTTATGAGATTAATGCTTTTCCAAAAACCTAGTGAGCTGCCCTACACAGTTACCCTCTTGATAACTGAAAATGGAACATCACACGCAAACACAAAATCTGCACCCATTAGCATGTTGCTCAACTAACAACATGATACTATCACATTATTACATTTTTGCATTGCATGAAATATTAGTAGGCTATATTTACATTTGTGAGCATTTCTCTCAGGCCATCTACCATCGCAGATGTTATTTATTTATTTACTTATTTTATAGTATTACTTATTTTATAATATTATTTTATAATGTAATTTTTGTTTTTAATGTTTTTTATTTATTTTCATATATATAAGTATATACTGCTTCAGATTTCAGTGCTGTCCTGATAGGCAGCGTACTAGGTTTTGGAACAGAGCTTGTAAGTGTTTTATAAATCTGATAAGTGTTAGATATTGCACCCTCTTGTGGTTTTAGAGAAAAAAACACTCGCTCATCTCTTTCTCTGGCTGACCATCCATGTGTCAAGGCAGCTCTTCTGAGCGTCTGTAGACACTTTCCCACTGATTGCATGCCGATTTCAACAGCACCAGACTGGCTGGATACTCACAATCACAAGAGGCCCTATTAGGTGTAGCCTGTTGTTTTACCTCATGTCGGTCTTTGATTTGTACTTCAGCTTTAAACACAGCTGTAATCTTATGAAGACTTGAGAGTTTAAAACCATGTGGGTCTCAGGTCAATGACAAAAGACAACTCTGGAATCCATGTGATGAATTATGATTCTCCACGGTAATAAATTCTAAATCTGGAGGGTAGAAGATTAACCCAAGAAATAAAGCAGTTTGACAGGGGAGGAGTTGGATTTAGCTCCAGAGTGCTAATGCACGGCTACTGCCTGCCACACCATAGGACAGCTTAAACTAGAACACAAATACACAGAATTTTATTACAGATTTTTTCCCCATAAACAAATAATAATTCAAAACATCATCTTATATATTCAGATGAATTTTGATTATTTTTTAAATTTATTTATTTTGTTGTTGTTGTTGTTGAAAAGCTTCAGTGAAATTTTGTGAAATGTTTTTATATGTAATGATGGCTGATTGCGCATATAATATACATTCTAGATATGAAGGTAGAATGACGTCAAAAAGATTTGCATACGCAGGATAAGAGTTGTGGAAGTGTACATAAGACTGTAAGCGTAAATTAAATTTGCATGCGCAAGAGAAGCTTTGTAAAGGTGTAAATCGCGTTTCAAGCGCAAGAAAAAAATATTTGCAGCATTTTACTGTTATTCGTAAGTGTAATTCATGTATTGTGAAACTGCAGCTTCATGCTAACGCAAAATAAATATGATCTGCATGCTTCTGACTTCCATTTTTCCGCGCTTACACTTTTGGCACGTTTTTTTTTCGCCAAAAGATGGTCAAAAGCACTGCAAGCCTGTGAACAGTGATTTGCAAGCGAAAACAACAGTTTAAAGAACTGCAAAACGGATTGACTGCATAGAACCAATCTGTATGTGTAAAAAAACTAACTGTTGCAAATGTCTAAATGACTTGTTGTGCATGTGGGGCAAAAAGTTCCCGAAATAAACCGATATGTACAGCTCCGTCTTTCTTTTCTCTGCGCTTATAGTTTTGGCACGATTCTCTCACTAACTGAGTTTTGCAAGCGTGAGGGGGAGGGCGGGGCCACCTTCTTCTTGTAGCCAATCAAATGAGCCTCTCGCTGACTCTCCATTTACTGTTATCTGATTGGTTCAATAAACATATCATACGCCAAGACATTAATCTTCATTTAGTTCAGGATCGTTCTTGCTGCCGGAATGGTACTTTTAACGTACACATACAATAAAAAAATTTATTAAAAAAATAACAACTTAATTAAAACATGATATTTTATAAGTTGTGTACCATTAGGCTAGACTCCCATGTGTTCATACTGAATTGCAAGCCGGTGTTAACATTATTTGGTTGAAAGCTGCACTTTCACAATACATGAATTACACTTACGAATAACAGTAAAATGCTGCAAATAAATTTTTCTTGCACTTGAAACGGGATTTACACCTTTACAAAGTTTCTCTTGCGCATGCAAATTTAATTTACGCTTACAGTCTTATGTACACTTCCACAACTCTTACCCTGCGTATGCAAATCTTTTTGATGTCATTCTACCTTCATACTAGACCTGTAGCCGCTCTGAACTATTTTCATGAGTAAATTGTCAAAAAAGTGACCGAAGCACTTTAAATGCATATTCTGGATTAAATTCTGTTTAGCATTTTCAAATTCACGGTTAAATGGGTGTTCATACTGATTGTGTTTTTTAGTGATCAGAAGGCATTTATTTTCACCGAGAGTACCACATTTCCAGCAATGTGATTTATTGTTGATGAAACAAAGTTGAGCAGAGCTTTATACAAACTTTATTTTTTAACTTTATGCAACTATCAATAGGAGTACAGACAGTGATCCGGCGCCTGATACTGTTCAGTACAGCAGCAGTGCCTACTAGAATACAACAGCACAGAGACTCTTTGACCTCCATTGTTTTAATGGCTTGATTTTGAGGCTTGATATTCTCTGCCAGCCCTTTTCTATGATCGAATAGAGGGCAGATTACAGCAACAAAGGGCAACATGAACTTGGGCTTTGTGAGCCAGTGGGCCACGCCACCCACGCGACTCCTGGCCCTCTGGGTTGTTGTCTGCAATCGAGGGTCTGTCTCTTATCCTTTTCCAGTAAAGCCCCCACCAGATATGTTCCATGGTCAGAGGAATTATGTAAGTGTGCAGCCAAGCGATATCTCGCTAAGCGGAATATTGATAGGTTTGTACTAGAGGATCCAGTGGTACCCAGTGGTTTAATTGCTGAGGACAGTTACATAACAATGTCTGTGTTTGAATCTTTGCTCTTGAGCGAAACCCACACTATTGTGGGAAGAGGAGGCTGGGAGTTCTGTTCGAGAAATGAACTGATAGTTTATCTGTGCGGCACCAGCTAATTTAAACAGTAGTGGACATGAATGAAATTCTGATTTCTGATTTGAAATTCTGATTTGATATTTTCATCAATGGGGTCACATTCTAGGCAAAAGCAAGTCTGATTAGCCTTAGAAAAAAATAAAATTATTATTTTATTTCATCGTTTACAAATGAATGTTTAGACTCTGACACAATTGTAAGGGATTTTCCATTACATTTAGCCAAAAATTTAATTTTCAGTTTTTGTTCCTTGAACCATTTCTAATCCCCGTTTGTCACATTTCTGTGACTAAGAAAGCATGGATTGCTGTTTAGGTCTTTACTCTTGCTTAAACATCCGTTAATTTGTCCTTAAGTGAGTGGCAGGGCAAACTGAAAGTTGTTTTTTCCTCCCCAAAGGGAACATGAATAACTCTGATATCCATTTCTAGCTATGCAGCACGATGAAGGACGACACATGCATGTGTTCTAACTGTGTGGCTTAAACGAAGAAAAGTCTGTAAAAATATGCTGCAATGTGCCATGTTAATATGAAGGAATTTTCTATATTGTTTTTTAATAGCTGTTAGAGAGAGTATAGGGTCCTAAGTGTCAAGAAGTTTGATTTATGACCCCACACAAAAACACTTTCCCAAACAATCATAAATTCCATGGGATCATTGGGATGGATAAACAGATGGCCGGTTAGATGGGTGGGGGGTGTACAGAAACAGGTGTCCAAACAGGTGTCCATTTATGGTAGGAGGAGGGGGGTTTATGAGGGGCAATAAATCAAACTTCTTGACACTTAGGACCCTATACTCTCTCTGCTGTTTTACCCATATTTTGAATTATGTATTTAATTCTGTTATATTTTAGGGCTGAAGGAAATGTCTCTAAATTAGCAGGAAAGGTACTGGTAATTTTCAGTGGATTTGCTCAGATGCTGTGCATTTGAAATTAATTTGATATACTAGAAGAAACAGTTTTATTTCTACAAGGAAACACTATAGTTGTGAGTAAAATATTTTGCTTTTTTTATTTATTTCAAATATTTGTTTAATGTGTAATTTTCTACAAATCACTGGTATGGAGGGAGGCAGATTTGACAGGCTTTTATTCAACAGCTTTATATCCAATATCATTATTCAGCAATTGTAGAATCAGTTTGAGTTCCAGGGGCGATGGATCAGGAGGTCAGACCTCTCAAGCAGTGACCCTTGATGGATTTAGGGGGCCATATTATATAAGCAGGAAGTGTGACTTTGTGCAACATTCCATCCAGGGGCTTTTCTTTTTTGGCTGAAATGGCTTTCATGCTGATGTCCCTAGACAGACTATCGCTGACCAGCTACACACTCCATTTATTAAACTTCCTGCCATTTTATTAGCTAATTTTCCTGTCAACACTTTGCTAACTCCCAATATAATTTTGTATGTTCAGAGAGCAGCTACATTTGACCTTAGGGCTGCTGTCACCACAAATTCATTAACATTGCTGGCAAGAACTATTGTTTTGTCCCCATCAACACAATATATATCTCACCAGCTTCTATGAGAATAATCAGTATACAGCATGCATAATCATTATGCTTAGTATATTTGTAAAATAATTATTATTTATATGCTACCGATCAAAAGTTTGGGGTTAGTATGTTTTTTTTTTTATTTTAAGAAATTAATATTTTATTCAACAAGGATGCATTTAATTGATCAGAAGTGACACTAAAGACATTTTATAATGTTACAAAAGATTTCTAATTCAAATAAATGCTGCCCTTTTGAACTTTCTATTCATCAAAAAATCCTGAAATGTAATAAAAATGTATCACGGTTTCCGTGTATCACTGTTTTCAACATTGATAATAAGAAATGTTTTTTAAAGCACCAAACCAGAATGATTTCTGAATCACGTGACTATGAAGATTAAAATGTATTAAAATAGGAAACAGTCATTTAAGTTTGTAATAATATTTCCACAAAATTACTGTTTTTACTGTATTTATGCTCAAATAAATGCAGACTTGAGCATAAGAGACCTTCAAAAACATTAAAAAATCTTGCTGACCCAAAAGTTTTAAACTGTATTGTACATTTTTATATTTTTATAAATATATTAAATAATAAATGATTGATTTACAGTATATAAAAGTGTATCTAAAACAGTTTTGAACTTTTTTTTCTTTTTCCTAAACAATAAACTATTAAAATGTGATTTTGAGGATGATTTTTCTTGTTGACGGGGATAAATTTAACCACAGCTATTTTCCTCTATGATTGGCATTGCTGGTCTCCAGAAAGCTGACAGTCTAGGCAGTCTTTTTTTCTAGGGTGCTCTGGATTTCATTTAATTCTTTGCCTCATTTTAGCCACACTAAAAGCGTTGGATTAACAGCACCTAATAAAGGACATAGACTGTGTTCGTAATAGCCAGCAGAAATACTCCAGAGGTCGTAATGTGTTTGGATTCTTTTTAAAGAGCCATCCTGCCATTGTGCCACACTGCAGCGACATTTTTGGTCCAGACTGCAGGGAGCTGATGAGTCACCTCTGTGTTAACGATTAAATGAGGTTTAAAGATCCGCCTGAGATGCTCACAGCAGCCAAGACGCTATCCTTCAGAGAGCACTGCACTCTGTCTACTTTCAGAGTCAACTAACCTTAATCCACCCTCCCAGGGGAGGCCTTTTCTTTGAGCTTTTATATATAGCAACTCTAATAGATCCGTCAGCTATATAGAAACCTTTGATCTATGACTAATATAAGGGTTTCTGCGTGCTATATTGTATAAGGGAGGGTTTAAATGTAGACTTAGTGGTGTTTGTGTGCTTTTAGTACATTCAAAAATGGATATTATATAATCATTTGCTCACCCTCACACTATTACAGTATGCTGTTTTACATAGTAAAATATTAAATTAAATAATATTTTAGATTGTTTTGATGGACTGTGTTTTTTATTTTTTAATAAATTCTGTAATCTTTTGGAATAATATGGGGGTAAGTTAATAGAATATCTCCTTTTGTGTTCCACAGATGATGAAAAGTCATACAAGTTTGAAAGCGAGTAAATAATGAAGAAATCATAATTTCTGAGTAAACTATCCCTTTAAATCTGTTATCTAAAGTTATAGGAGAAACCATAGCAAAATTAGTTCACAAAGTCTTTTCTTATGATCCATGCAGTCATGGATGTCCAGTCAAAGTGCTTGTTTTAGTTTGATTGACTTTTGTTTTTAAACGGCTCCTAAGAGACTCATGTACAGTACAGTCATATGATGCTTTTGTTTTGGCTGTTTTTGATCAGGGCTGATGTAATAAGATAAAAATGATTCCTGTGCTTCATCTTTGTCAGCTTTCAGACATGGTCTCATGATGGTCTTTGAACACTTGATTTACTATGAAAAGGTGGCATCATTAATTCATTACGGTGTATTGACATTGTAGAGTAGGAAGCCAGCTAAATGTAGCAAGAGGATCTGTTGTCCTTTAGTGCATTGAATCGTATCATGTAACTGACAGGGGTTAGTTCAGAGACCCAAATCAATTCCAATAATTCAAATAATCTAATTTGAATAATTAAATCCGGCAAAAAAATCAATTTAAAAATTTGTACTGCTAGAAAGTGAGAGGGCTAAAATCCAATGAAATGCTTGCTTATTATTGCTTATACAATTTGGGCAAAGTTGTTTTAGAATCAGTTGCATTGTTGCTGTATTTTTTTTCATTTGTGAATAGCTTCGGATTTTATTTACTAGAAGTAAAAAAAAAAAAAAAAAGTAAATATTTAACCTGTCTGTGAAACTTGCCTTGCACTATTTGTTCTAATGACATGAATGATACCACAAATTGTAAGGTGTGTTGAGGAGAAATCCCTTTTAGACCATTTTGAAGCTGATTAGCCTGAAATCTGCAGTTTTTTTTCAGTTTAATATATTTTTGACTTTATTTAATGTATTTAATAAATATTTATTTATAATATTATTTTATAATATTTAGTTTTGTTTTCAGGGTCATCAAATGATGTTTAAATCAGCTTGTTTAAGATGGTTTAGTTGCTATTTTTAACTATTTCTAGCACTCTGAATTTTAAATATTGAAAAATCTGAGCATTTAACCCCTTAACTGTGACCGTCCCACCTGTGGGACATTTGGCACTCTTTTTTTTGTTGTCTTTTTTCTCTATCAAATCTTTTAGTAATCATCATAAATAATATATCATTTGAAAGCTTAGAAGCCCAAGATTCATCCTGTTCAAATCTTCAAATTCAAATATTTTGGCAGTCTCCTCCCCCTTAGTGGGCAGTGTCAAGTGTCATATTACAAAATGAATTACGGTCTTTTAGAATCAAAACTTTATATAATCTTGACAAAAAAAAAAAAAAAAAGTAAATATTTAACCTGTCTGTGAAACTTGCCTTGCACTATTTGTTCTAATGACATGAATGATACCACAAATTGTAAGGTGTGTTGAGGAGAAATCCCTTTTAGACCATTTTGAAGCTGATTAGCCTGAAATCTGCAGTTTTTTTTCAGTTTAATATATTTTTGACTTTATTTAATGTATTTAATAAATATTTATTTATAATATTATTTTATAATATTTAGTTTTGTTTTCAGGGTCATCAAATGATGTTTAAATCAGCTTGTTTAAGATGGTTTAGTTGCTATTTTTAACTATTTCTAGCACTCTGAATTTTAAATATTGAAAAATCTGAGCATTTAACCCCTTAACTGTGACCGTCCCACCTGTGGGACATTTGGCACTCTTTTTTTTGTTGTCTTTTTTCTCTATCAAATCTTTTAGTAATCATCATAAATAATATATCATTTGAAAGCTTAGAAGCCCAAGATTCATCCTGTTCAAATCTTCAAATTCAAATATTTTGGCAGTCTCCTCCCCCTTAGTGGGCAGTGTCAAGTGTCATATTACAAAATGAATTACGGTCTTTTAGAATCAAAACTTTTTATAATCTTGACAAAAAACATATAATTGGAAAGGTCTGAATCTCAGGATTCCATATTTGGTGGTTATTTTGAGATAGAAATAGAAATTGAATATTGACAGAGAAATCTAGACATTTGTGACAGAACAATGCATTAAAAAAATTCAATGGAGTTTGGGTGTCACCCGGTGGCTGTTTGTGGTATAACGCCCTAAATAAAATCTCACAGGAACCTACATTTTTTTCATATCAACTTCAAATTTGGAACATAACTTATTTAGACATAAGGCTATAAGTTTATACCAATTTTAGAGTAAAACCTGGTATGTATAATATTTATTATATATAAAATAAAATTTAATATAGTGCATTTTCTTTACAGTAAATTTAAACCACTATAACTTTTTGATACTTAAATATTTTGAAAAAATTCCACTTTTGCAATAATTTGCTGATTTTCTTCTTTAAAAAGAGACCAACCTTATGTCTGTATTCCAAAGTGTTCATAAATTACAACAATTTAAGTTTGGATAGTGCACCTGCATGCCTATTTGAAAAAATGGGGGGTGACAGTTAAACGGTTAATTGAGGTTTGAAGGGTATTTTTGCAAATATGCAGATAGTCTGCAATGCTACAGTTCACACAAAGATTAATTGATTGAAAGCCATTAAGCAGTCAGGCTTTTTTTTCCAGGGAACCAAGCAGCATGTATGCTTTGAAAAAAGGGTGTGGCAAACAAGAACAGCCTGCCCTCTGGGCTGCTTTTAAACATTTCTGGAAATCGTCTTTGATATTGAGTCTGAACTGAGAGGTCACGCTCACCCGGGTCCTGGGCTTTAGTCAAACGTAGCTTGCATACTAGCTTGAGTGTCAGACCAGCCCTGAGCTGTTAGAAATAAAGCTAGATCAATGTCAGCATTGGTAAAATCTCTGCAGATGAATATTGTATAGGAAACGTCATTACAGCCCACAAGGTTTTATTTTGTCTTTCATTCAAGGTGTACAAAGAAGAACCATATCTGTTACCGGACTCCCACAGGGGAATATCATGCTTTATTCACTTTCTTGTCTCTGTAGGCCCAACATTCTCATAATGTGAATGTCATCTAATGCTAAAGAGAGCACACACTCCCATCCAAACCTGTCTGCTGTGCCATTGGCATGGTAATGGAGCTGTGATGCTGGGATCACATTAGTTAGCTCATATTGTATCTATGTAAAGTCTGCTTCACAAATGGTCAATTGAAATGAATAGCTGTGGGCGAGGGTTTCAATTGTCAGCCAGGTAACCGTGGCAACCATGTAATATAGGTGAATGTGCACTACACTGATGTGTGGGGATGACACACATCAGTGGGTTTATTATTCGTTTGGCAAATGCTTTTATCCACAATGGCAGAGTATATGTTTTATAATGTACTGTATGTTCCCTGCGAATCAAACTCATGACTTTGGTTTTGCTAGCAATTAATATTTCATTATAGGCTTTCTTTGGGACCGCTCTTTTAAAACACACTCACATATATACACACTGTATAGATATATCTATAGATATAGATAGTGTCAGTTATAGCACATCTCAGATTATTTATTGCGTTTGATAATGTTCTGTGTTGATTTTTAGATTTATCATCTTTTTATGTAACAACAATATTACGGAGGATTTCGTACTTTACTGTTATTATAGTAGTGAAACCATCAAATCTATACGAAAAGTAGCAAAAATAAATGGTGATAGCATGGTAAAAAAAAAAAAAGTTTCAAGACGGACCTTCATATAACATCAAGAAAAACATCTGTTAATAAAAATCAATTACTAAAATATAAAAGTGCCCGTAACCGATGAAACCTCTAACTCTGTTTGATGTTTCTCTTTCTCTGCAGTATCCTCTTTGCCGACATTGAGGGGTTCACCAGTCTGGCTTCTCAGTGCACTGCCCAGGAGTTAGTGATGACCCTCAATGAGCTCTTCGCACGATTCGACAAACTGGCCTCCGTAAGTGTCCGCAGAACAGCCCTCGCCCTGAGCCAAACAGCTTATTTTTTGTCGAAACACGATGGCAAACTGAGATGTAATCAGATTAATTCCGCTTGCATCCCACTCACACAGCTGACTGGGATAGACAAGCCCTCCCTCCTGTCAGATGAGTGTTTGCGATCATGCTTCTCGCTGTTTTCCAGCTCAACTATCTCCTTGTTATCTCCTCCAGTGGTGGTGACTCATTGCAGCCAAGTTGCCATGCATTCGTGCACGTACTCTGCTGCTGCAGAGAGATGCTGCTCAAAGGGGAAACCATCTGTTGTCTGTTCAGATGTTTGCACACTTCACAAAACCTTCGAGCAAAAAGACAAAAAAGCATGCATACGCACTTCGCCCTGATGATCAACAATAGAGGTTGTAGTATGGGCTGCGGGTTAAATGAAGGCATACACTGGGGTGACATTCAGGTGGCTGTCATAAGACCCGGTCCTGCGGCCGTGAGTCCTGTGCCCAGCCTGAGGCTTCCTCTTCTGCTCTCCATTGGTTTCTTCTCTCCTGTTTTGATGACTTACAAACTAAGAAACCTATAGTACTACAGAAAACACCACTTAATGGGATAGTTCACCCAAAAATTTAATTTGTCATTATTTGTTCAAAGTATCATATTTGCTGTATTAGTCTTCAGAAGTTGTACAGTGAGTAAATAATGTTTTCATTTTTGATTAAACTATTCTGTTACAAAGTAAGATACCTATAGCACTCAAATAAACAATGCTTAATAGGGTATTTCAACCAAAAATTACATTTATGTCATTACTTTTCACCCTTATGTCATTTCAATACCAGTAAGACTTTTTTTTTTTCCTTCCGATTTTTGAAGATTATTCTGGTTGTTCTTTTCCATGCAATTACAATGAATGGTGACTGAAGGTTTCAAGCTTCAAAAACGATGCAAAAGCACCATAAAAGCATCATATATGCTATATTACGCTATATTGCAAGTTATCTGAAGTCGTACTTTATGATTCACAAATAATGACAGAAGTTTCATTTTTAGTTGAACTATTCTTACAGTATCTGTTATCTGTTACATCTGTTTATATTTCCTTTGTTGAAATCCATTTCCAAAAGCTTTTTGTTTAGACTACTCATGTTTTCCAAGCAAAATATCAAGACAAATTGGGTTGGATTTTTGAATTCATGAAAGTGGGATGCCAAACTTAGTACATAAAAAAATACACTGTAGAGACATATTAAAATCTGACATTTTAAAGCCATTTGGGAACAGTTAAGATTTTAGTTTTTGTTATCATGAATCATATAAATCCCAATGAAAATTCATAACCTTAAAAGGAAAACCATTTGCGGTATGTGAAGGGGTTTTTAATGGGAGAAAGGCTATGTAACACATTCCCTGTATGGAATATCTACTAATACACCTTAATGGCTATGAAATTACATGTAATGCATTCATTTTTAGTTTGGAGTGAAGGGTTTTATTAAAAAAAAAAAAAAAAACTGTGACCTACAGCAACTCAGACAGTTAAAATTTGATTATTTGCTCATTGTTGATCCCAATTACACCAGCCCAATCACCCTTACTCTGTTTGGTCATTCTCTGTGTGTCTGCAGGAGAATCACTGTCTGCGGATTAAGATCCTGGGCGACTGCTACTACTGCGTGTCGGGGCTGCCTGAGGCCCGTGCTGACCATGCGCACTGCTGCGTGGAGATGGGTGTGGACATGATCGAAGCAATCTCGTGAGTATTACAGTTTTACATCTGTTCATCAGACAGGAACAGCAAGGCTTTTATGTCTTGTTTTAAATGTCTCCCTGAAAATGTACTTCAGCCAGGAGATACAAAAGAGATGCTACGGTGAATCAGGACCTGTCAATTTCCACAAATATATACACACAAAAAAGTTTAGTTTCCATAATAATGTGGAATATATACTGGTTTTATGGAAGATTTACATTCGCGCACATATGTGTGTGTGTGTGTGTGTGTGTATAGATAGATAGATAGACACACACATACTGACACACACATACTACATGTATATATATATATATATATATATATATATATATGTATGTGTGTGTGTGTGTATCTGTATGTATATCAGTGTTTCCCCTGCCATTATATTAGGGGGGCAGCCCGCCTAATACATAATTTTATAATTTTATTTAATTATATTTTCTCTATAGCGCCAGATCACAACAGAAGTCATTTAAAGTTACCTTTCCGATATAACAGGTCTATGCCTTGTTCTTTTATTAAGCAAACTAAATAGCCTTATGTTTTTTATCTTATTTACATGACGGCATGTCATTTCGGTCTCTACGTTATGGTCGCGCTCTCTGCATCACGCTCAGCGGAGTTCGCGCACACACACACACAAGTGAGCACACTCCCACTCCCATTAGTATTTGTAAATAAGCCGCAAAACGATTCATATTTAAATGAATTCTGCGTGTCTCTGTGTTAATGAATGGCACAGACCGCTTTTACCACTCGTACTGAAGCGCGAGTTACGCTTGCGGTGATTTAGCGTCTGCCATCTCACTAAATGAGGACATAAATACATGAACAACATCTCCAGAACTTTTCTGAGAGTCGCTTCATGAGCATTGGACCGTTTCATTTGAGTAAAACTATCCTCATATCATATACACACAGAAATGTAAAGGTATTCACGGCAACCCGTCAAAATAAAAGTTCGGTTTAACTTGAAGGCATTGGCAGAAATATATTACTATTGTAATCAGTAGAATGTACGTAATAGGCTGCTGCTACTACTACTACTACTACTAAAATGAGTAAAACCTTATTTTTAAGGAATAATCATCAATATTTCTTCAATGTTTTAATTGCAATATTAAATTACCTTTATTTTCCAAAAAATAAAATTTGTTTAATAATATTACTAAGATAGATTAAATGAGTTTTATGCCTTAAAAAATGTAAATACACAACACAGAATTTCTGTGCAAAAAATCATAAGGCTATTGTAAGAATAAATTAAACTTATTTTTATGCTTTCAAGTAATTAGACATTCTAAAACAGAATTTGGTAACAATAAAACATAAGGTTGAAAAAAAACATTTCATAGGGCCCTAACATATAATATTTGTTAAACTTTTAATAAATTGATGTTAAATTGTTTAAGTTTCATGATTTTAATTAATTAGACATGCTTTTTGATTAATACAATTTAATTTAACCATTAAAAAAGAGTCCAGAACCCCCCCCCAAGTTATTTGTCTTGCATGCGTGTGGACGTGTCCACAGTCCTGACTTCTCTAATGTTCTGTGTCTCTGAGCAGTTGTTTAAGGCAGGAATGGTGGTGACTGGCTTTCTGCTCCAATGAGCACATGTCTGTGTTTCTCTGAGCTGCAGCCAACCGCCCCAGCGCCCCATCACAGGAAGAGACCATTTTTCCGCAGACTTGCCTGTCGTCCTCAATGTTAAAAAAAGTTTGATGGCTTGTTTGCCGTGTGATGTCGGGATCAGAATGTGCTGTGTTGTTAACTTGTTGATGTGCCCAGTGGAAAGGTGCCTTTCAGCGTGCGCTAATCCACCTTAGGACTTTTTCATATAGGGAAAAGTGAGATGAGATGTGTCAGTGGATAAGGTTATGAATTATATCATATATTAAAATGGCAGGGTCCAAATGTAGGAAATACATTATATTACATTTGTCACACTGAAAAAGAGAGAGTTAGCAAAGAGAAACCAACCGTTAAAAGAAAATGATCACAAATCCCCACATATTAAAAGCTACCTCAGCATCAACTGTGAATGAAACTTGAAAAGAGAGAGGAACATTTCATATTTCCTGCAATCTTATTGTGTATAATATAAATGTCTTTGTTTGTTCAGTCCAGTTTGGGATCTTTTTGTGTTTTTTTTGCTTTGTTTTTTTTCCCCCTAGAAACAAATAGCAAAGCAAAACAAAAAGCAATCTAATTAAATTTTGTATTTTTAAAAATGAAAAACAAAAATGTTTAAAGTTCTTTCACCATATTAAAATATTCTGAATACTTAACCTTTTCCTGGCTGGTTATGGATATTCTAAGTAAAATTCTAAGTTTTAATTTAAATAAGACTCATATTTGAATAATATTTTTTTGTGTTCATATTTTTATTTGAAATGTAAATCATTCGCAGATACACCTGGACATGTCACTGCTTATTATCATTGGGAAAGTGCCACTTTCTTTAGAGATATTATTATTTATATGAAGACACTTTCTTCTCATTTTAGTTGATAGCAGACACAATGAATTCTAATAAGGTTTAGTAGTTTTAAATTTGTTTACATGTAAACAACTTTCACAGTTCTGACCATTAAAACTGGAAGTTTAATATCACCTTCAGAGTTCAAATTTAGTATATTGTTAATGTGTTATATCAAAATATATGATTAACTGAATTAACAACCGGTATATCTGTTTTTTTTTTTTGTCTGTCTCTGTGCTCCAGGTTGGTGAGGGAAGTCACCGGTGTCAACGTCAACATGCGTGTGGGTATACACAGCGGGCGAGTCCACTGTGGGGTGCTGGGATTAAGGAAGTGGCAGTTTGATGTCTGGTCCAACGATGTCACCTTGGCCAATCACATGGAAGCTGGGGGCAAAGCAGGGTGGGTTCATGAACTCTGTTTTTTTTTGCACGTTTTCTCACCTGAACTCCCTGTGTCTTTTCACTTTTAAAATCTGAAAATGTGTTTTTATTGATTTTTTCCCCAATAACACAAGACAAGTTCAAACAAGTCTCTCTCCAGTTATCTTTCGTCACCGTAGCTTTGTTCGGAATAGCATGCTACCATACTGCTTTCTGTAGTATGTACACTGTGCAAAGTGTTCCTGACTAATTGACTACTACTATTATCAAAATGTCTAAATATAGTTAATCGTATAATAAATTGTAAAAATGGCAGTTTTCTAAAAATAAACGTCAACATGAAATAGAGAAAAGAATATACACACACACACACACACACACACACACACATATATATATATATATATATATATATAATAACAAATGATATGATTATAAAACAATAAAATAATATTATATCTCCAGGGTTATTGTTGTTAACTCAAACTTTAAAAATGGTTTTAAATTGCTTGAAATAAAATAAGCATTAACTATATTAAGCTTATTTTACTTAAGCTAGTTGCCAAGACAACATTTCTCATTTTTGTTTAGTTTGTTATAGACATAAAAAAAAAAAAATAATAAAATAACAAATACCCAAAAACTACACTGGAAATAGAAGTAATATCATCCCAACAGTTTCTTTTTCTTCTTTTTTTTTTTTTTTTTTACTGCCAAAGGTTAAGGCATTTATATCTGAATTTAGATACAAAATAAGTGTTTCATTTTCCAAAATAGTAAATTAATGCCACTTGCTCAAAATAATGGAAACGTTCATTGCTTCATAATGTGTTCTGCTTCACACACTATAAAAAATTGTAAGCAGCACATACTCAGTATTTAATACAATAGTATTCCATTCTAAATATGGCATTGCAATTCCAGGGCATCTTCCCGTCTACATTATGCCTCATGAAAGTTGTTGTTATCATCTCAGGCGTATTCATATCACCAAGGCCACACTGAACTATCTGAATGGGGATTATGATGTGGAACCTGGATTTGGTGGAGAAAGAAACGTCTATCTCAAGAAGCACAACATTGAAACTTACCTCATTGTGGGCTGCAGTCAGAAGCAGGCGAGACATTTTTTTCCTCTTCATCAACGAATGGTATCAGTTCTATTTTAATATAAATTCAGGTGAAATAAAACATTCTATGGTCTACTTTCACTTGCGTATTTTGAATTGCTTATTAAACTTTGTAACCTGAGACAGTTGAGGGCAACATGCTGTGATTCTCCGTTAATATTCACATCCTTTTCAAGCAGAAACACCTAGCGCTCAGGAATAGCATGACTCACATGATGCTGGCAAGCAGATGAATGCAAATAAGCTATGTGGATAAATTCAGGGAAATGTGACATCAGAAGACAAGCTAGTTATTGACTATGACATTAAAAAGCATGGACCGTAATACTGCTCTGGTTTTGTATTTCCCTTCACAGAAAGAAGAAAAGGCCATGATTGCTAAAATGAACCGGCAACACACCAACTCGGTCACACATAATAGCACTCACTGGTCCGACCGGCCCTTCTACAATCACCTGGGTGGCAATCAAGTTTCCAAAGAGATGAAGAGGATGGTGAGGAAACTACACTTTTGAAAGGGCCGCATTAACCACCCTTGTAGGATGACAACATTGTCTGAGTTGTGAAAAACAGTTGGTTTGCATTTACTCTAATTGCTGTATTTAAAACCCATTACTGCCTCTGTTGGAGGATAAGGCCTTTGACAGGGATGGCTTTTTGTACCATGTGTTAACTAAGCCAAAACAATCCCAAGGACATTGCTTTAGGGCCACATGTAAAGGGCCTCATGCCTTTTTTTTTTGTGTAGTCCCTGTTCTTTCATTCAGTTCTCAGCTCTTCCCTGGCTCTGGAACCCAAAGGGAACGGCACTCTAATTAAATAAACTTGGATTGCCTCACATACCGCCCTGAGGGATTTAATCAGGCAAAGTGGAACCAGCAATTAGTTCCTGTGTGCTCCATGGGAATACCCTTTATCTTTTCTTTTTTGTCTGAATCACCTGTTCCTTCTCATCTTGGTTAACATAGTAAGAAGGAACACAGAAATCCATCTTAATAACTTGTTCTCGCTACAACTGATATGTTATACTGAGATCTCAAATAAAACATTACATGAATATTGACCTTTCCATTATAAAAAGATATGTCTACAGTTTAAATTTACAGTAATATTAAGTTTTTTCTATGTTAGAAAACTTTTTCCAATCCCAGTTTAATGTACAACTGGGAGTTAGCTGTTAATTAAAGCTATCCATTCCCATTCCCATTCATTACACTTAAAATTAAAATCTAAATTCAAAATATTGCCAAAAACTATATTTCTATGTTAGAAAACCTTGTCCAGTCCCAGTTTAATGTACAACTGGAATTAACCATTCATAGGTTGATTTCTGCTAAATAAAGCTATCTATTACCGTTCTCATTCATTAAACTTAAAAGTAAAAAATTAAAAACAGAAAACATAAAAATTGCAGTTGCTCGATGGCACAGGATCCTGTAGAATTTTATGATTTTAAATATTCCAACATAAATGTGCCACATCAGTTTTCAGCTGATCATTAGGGCTCTAGAAAACATCAACGATACTATTATGAAATATTTGTAAAAAAAAATTGGGGTCAGTAAGATTTTTTTCACCAAGGATGCATTAAATTGATCAAAACTTACAGCAAAGACATTTATAATGTTACAAAAAAATACCGTTTCAAATAAATGCTGTTTTTTTTTTTTTTTTTTTTTTTTTTTTTTACATTTTCCACAAAAATATTAAGCAGCACAACTGTTTTCAACATTGATAATAATAAGAAATGTTTCTTAGCATATTAATATGATTTCTGCTTCATGTGACATTGAAGAATGGAGTAATGACTTATTAAAATTCAGCTTTGTCATCACAGGAATAAATTACATTCTGAAACAAATTAAAATAGAAAACTATTTTAAATTGTAATAATATTTTAACATTACTTTTTTGACAAATAAATGCAGCCTTGGTCAGCATAAGAGACTTCTTTACAGACCACAATCTTTTGAATGATGAGAGAGGGAGAGAGAGAGAGAGAGAGAGAGAGAGAGAGAGAGAGCCACAAAAATATTAAGCAGCACAACTGTTTTCAACATTGATAATAATAAGAAATGTTTCTTAGCATATTAATATGATTTCTGCTTCATGTGACATTGAAGAATGGAGTAATGACTTATTAAAATTCAGCTTTGTCATCACAGGAATAAATTACATTCTGAAACAAATTAAAATAGAAAACTATTTTAAATTGTAATAATATTTTAACATTACTTTTTTGACAAATAAATGCAGCCTTGGTCAGCATAAGAGACTTCTTTACAGACCACAATATTTTGAATGATGAGAGAGGGAGAGAGAGAGAGAGAGAGAGAGAGAGAGAGAGAGAGAGAAGAATGTTTTGAGATCTGCTTTTGAAAAAAATGGTGTAGTTACAACATCCACCAGCAGGGGGTTGGTAGATATTGTATTTTGCTGTTGGGATGTGTTTGTCCAACCAACAGCAGATAGTGGGAGCCTGTTTGTAATTATTTGTGCAGTTCTGTTTGATAGTGGCACAGATAAATCCAGCTCGATATATCCTGCTGGAGCTCAGACTAGCATGTAATTGCCAGATATCTGTCCACGCCTACACAAACACAGAGCATTGATGAAGGGAGATAAACGTGGTGTTTTCTGACGAACAGAATATCTGTATCATAATAACAACAGCACCTGTTTATGTCTATTGTATTGTCTAGAGGCTTGCGTTGGCCCAGAAGGTGTTGGTTAGTCGAAGGAGAGAAACAAATGGTGTAACACCAACATACTGACTGGGTCGTAGTCTCCGTCGAGTGAATACATGGAGGCCTGTGCGTGGGAGTGCATCTGAGTCTTCTGAGACTATACATTTAGTGACTGTTATTATGCATCTAGCAACTTGTCTCATGGATGCTTTTTACTCCCATAATTTAATGTTTAGTGTTTAGAAATTACCATTAAAATGGCCATTTGGTATTTAATGGGAACATTCAGTCTGTTCCTTGACCCCACATATCTGCTATTTTTTTTAAATGTATTAAGTCTGTATCATTTAGCAGATGCTTTTATCCAAAGCACTTATTGTAGAGAATGGGGTTCTCGTATTACCGGTTTTCAGCAGTCAATACCAATGCAAGTAATTTAAAAAAGTAATACAAAACTAATTTTCTATACCAATACTACAGCAAAAAAACTCAAATGTTTGTCATATGTTCTGGACACACTTGAATGTATGTTTTTTTAAGTTTATATTTAAATATTATTATTATTTTTAATATTTGTTTTTCTTTAAACCTAAAAAGCGGCTTTTGCTTAGGGCTGTTGCGATAACCGTAATACCGTGCTATTGACGAGCAAACCGCAGGATGCAAGAACCGCAGCAACCTTTTTTCATAGGGTTATGCCCTTCTCGTTTTACACTTCGTGCATGTGTACTGAATATTAAATAAGTTAGTAATGATAACATCATGTGTACCATGCTTATTTGAAAAGAGGCTCCGTAGATTTGCACTTATCAAGCCTAAACAGACAGCGAATGAGAGAGAGATCAACTGAGCATGTGCAATTAGTTGCGAGTCATATATATTTGTGAAAATTGGTTGTCATGTCCAAGGAAAGCCAAATCTCTGTCTTAGCAAAGATGCATTGCTGGTCAGCTGAGCCTTCTAAAGTGGTGCTCAAAAGTTAATTGATTTCAACAGCGTGTTTCATTAAGTCTCTCTTTGAATGAATCAGCGTTTTTGAATGTGTTGAATGAACGGTTTAAAGACTCACTCAAAGACGGTCCCTTGCCGCCACCTTGTGGCGCAACAATGTAACTGCACTGACTTGACAGCGTCTAGAACGCGCCGGTGGAAATATCAATAGAAAGTCTCTTGTCCAGTCAGATTTGAGGATCAGAACGAACTGTTATACATCTAGGCTAACAATAGCCTAACGATCTTATTGTCAGGCTTGTGTTCTGTTATGTGGATCGTCATTTTGTCACTCTCTACTGTTTACTTTACTTATTTCAACGCTACATACACACACAGATTATATATATATATATATATATATATATATAATGGCAATAATACCGCATACCGCGCTATTGAGCCACTCAAAATTACCGCAAGGGTAATTCCTTCACCAAATTACAATATGTATATATTTTTACAATAATACAAGTCATTTTACCCAACATTTGTATGTGCTATGTATCAAACTTTGTTAAAATCAATTGTGACTTGTGCTGCCTGTGTAAACCAACCAGATGTCTTTGTAGGCAGTATCTATTTAAAACCCTTTGCAGAAAACAAAAAAACACTAACCGTTAAAGCACGTGTGAAACATGAGCCTATTTGGTTTCCTCTCCATATTTCCCATGTCCTCCTACCACGATAAATCAATGCCTCATCAGCCAGCTCTGTTTACTTCTGTTCTCAGTGGGGTCTGAATTGAAATTCCTCCAAAAGTGCTTGTGGTCATAAATCAAGCCACCTGAATCAGCTCTCAGCTTGTTTATACACAATGTCAGTCATCATGTATTCGGTTATATCAGTACAGTCATCATTTCTCAGTCTCACAGCAGTGCTCCGTTTTCAACTTTGCAGTCTTTCCATAAATGATTGTCTTTATTTATGTATATTTCTTGTATTCCCCAACCTCTCCCTTCTCTCTGTGTTTATATTTTGTTACTGCATTAGTCACTGCTCTGTTATTTGCAACATGACAGTATAAGAAATTAATAGAGATTTATACTTGTTTTGGAATGGGGTGTTGGGTAGATCATTGTTTTTTTATTACCCCAACAAGAAAATAAGTTTGTGGTGCAAACGTTTTCCAGGGAAGATAGCTTTTAAATTCGCTCAATCCCTTTAATCGAGAACTTTTGTTACTTTTTTTTTTTGAGGTCCTCCAGAAGGGGTCACTGTTGTGCTGATTGTACAAATGCAGATGTTCTAATTCTCATCCATTCTGCATTGATGTTTAATGCATTTCTCTTCTAATTTTGTTGCAGGGATTTGAGGATCCCAAAGACAAGTGAGTATATGGAACATATACTTCCTACCTCCACCTTGCATGCCAATTCTTTTATTAATAGTTGATTACAGAATTTGTCTCATATACACTACCGTACAAATGTTTGGAGTCAGCAAGGTTTTGGAAAGAAGTCTCTAATGCTTACCAAGCTGCATTTATTTGCTAAAAAATACAGCAAAAACAGTAGTATTGTGAAATATTTTTACAATTTAAAAACTCTTTTATATTTTATTATATTTTAAAATGTAATTTATGTGACAGTAGAGCTGAATTTTCAGCAGCCATTACTGTAGTCTTCAGTGTGACATTAGAAATCATACTAATATGCTGATTTGCTGCTCAAGAAACATTTCTTCTTATTATTATCAGTTAAAAACAATTGTGGTGTTTAATATTTTTGAAGAAACCATGACAGCTTTCAGGATTCCTTGATGAATAGTTCAAATGCACTTGAACAGTAAACAGTGCTAATTTCTTTCAAAAATAAAAAGTGTTACTGACCCCAAACTTTTGAATGGTGTATATATAGCTTTGCATTATATAACACTTAAAATAAGTAAAACTAATATTATGAAACATATAGTACAGACTTTTAAATGTGGTTGAATGCGGTGCATTCAAAGCAGTTTATTGGTTATAAAGTAACCAATGCAGACTCGGAATGCATCAGTTGAATTATATATCAATCAAGCAAGTACTTCAGCAACGAAATTCTGCTGGTTTTGTTCAGTGTCACATAAGTAGGGCTGCTGAATATGGCGGGTGGGAAACTGCAAAATGGATTAAATGGCTGAAAAGGAGTTAAGTCTACTACAGTTGTTGTACACAGATGTTGGCACAGATTCCATGAAGGCCTACTTAAGACACTAAAATATATTCAAATGTGATTGAACTGCCAACTATAAATGAACTAATCAACACATGCATGTAGTGTGAGCATATCCATCACTTTTCCAGAGGTGTTGAAAAGTATCAGAACCTAGAATCCTGGGTCTCTTGATACTTACGCATGTATCACTGTGCTTCTCTAGCATATTAACTAGTCAGCATTTATCTAAACATGTGAATGCAGATATGCAAGCCAGTTTGCTGCTTAAGGCAATTCACCATCAAACCATATACTGTAACTGAGTGACTACAAACCCGTTATATGTCCATTTTGACACTTCTCTGTCAAATGAGCACTTTCAGTATTTGAATACAAATGCAGGATCTAGTTTTGCTGATGTGATTTAGCAGTTACTGAATTGCATGAACATGACTGCAAGGCCTTGAGTTCTTTAGCAGATGATTTGTTTTTCTTAACGTAATCTGTTTTACTCACAATCATCCAAGGCTGGTAACCATGTTGATTCTAAAGCTGCCCTTAACTCTGTCATCATTTGTTTTTGGGGGGTGCGGTACTGCTGCTTTTTGGTGGTCTGGCTGTATAGTATTAAGTTAAAGGATAACTAAGAGGGGAGGAAGAAGGTAGAAAAACTGTGTCTCGTCTTGTTATCTAGACATTTCATTTTCAGAAACACGCAAGAAAACCTGAACCCTGAGGATGAGGTGGATGAGTTTCTGGGACGTGCCATTGACGCTCGAAGCATCGACCGATTACGGTCCGAACAAGTCAAGAAATTTCTGCTGACATTCCGAGAACCTGACCTGGAGAAGAAGGTATGGCTTTCATGTCTGTGACTAGCTTCAATGATAAGATAAACCTTAACACCACAACCTGATTTATTAGGTAATGCTAATCCACACAATGTCTTTTCTTCCGTGAACCACACAAAAGGAGAAATTTAGCGAAGTGTTCACACTGCTCTTTTCCATACATTGAAAAAACCAAACTATTTTTGTTTATTGAAATAAATATGAAATAAAATAAAATGGCAACTTCCTGAAATAAAATAAGTTGATGTACTAAAATGACTAAAACTGAAATAAAAATAAATTAAAGCTAGATAGAAATAAAAAAAAGTCTAACAAAAATGACAAAAGCATATTAAATAAAATTAATAAAACATTAAAATGAAAACTGAAAATATAAAAATAAAAGCTTAATATTAATAAATACTAAAATAGTAGATAATGAATGCTTAATTAACAGCTGTCAAGATCACAGCTGTCAAGCTCCAAAAATGACGCAATAAACCCACTATAAAATTAGTCTACAGTGTATGTAAGTTATGCACTATATGCAAACTTCTTGTAAAGAATAGGCCAAAATGAACATTTTTCACATTGCCGGTCCTCGTACTTCTGGCACTGATCACACGCCTCTTTCAGAGACTTGCCTCCAGTTTGTAGGGGGAGATAATTATTGCTTTTGTTGTCTTTCATTGTCTGTGTCCAGAACGTCTATTTTAGGCTCATGAATGAAGCAGTTATCTTCCATAGTTTTTAAAGAAATGTACTTGATATTATTTTTTAGATATTTTACATATTTGCTATACTGTTCAAAAGTTTGGGCTCAGAAATATTTTTTGTTTTATTTAGAAAGGATGAATTACATTAATCAAAAGGGAAAGACATTTAAAATGTCACCAAAGAAATATCGAATAAGTGCTGTTCTTTTTAACTTTATATTCATCAACGAATTCAGAAAAAAATGTATCATGGTTTCCGCAAAAATATTAAGCAGCACAACTGTTTTCAACATTAATAAGAAATGTTGAGATCCAAATCAGCATGTTAGAATGATTTCTGAAGGATCATGTGCACTGAAGACTGGAGTATTTCATTTGATTTTACTTGACTTGACTTTACAAGCAACTGAATTACACAAACAGTTTTTAAATATCTACTATTTTCAGGGTTTCCAGTACTGTGGAAAACCTGGAAAAATTAAGAAATTTTACAGTTGTGATTTCCAGGCCTGGATATGTCCTAAAACGTAAAAGCTAAAAATGTATAATGCATTAATGTTTTGCTAATTATACTCAGATAAAATATTTAATGGGCTCGAAATGGCTCTTTGTGTGTGCAGTATCAGTTATCACAAAGAACTGGAAAAGTTAAAGAAAAACATTTACCTGGAAACCCTGGTGTTTCAGTAAAAACTGAAGTAAACAATGAACATCAACACATCCACAGTCGGTAAAACACTACAGTACAGATACTTGAAAAATGTACTTAAGTACAGTAACGAAGTAAAGCTACTCCGTTACTGTCCACCACTGCTACTTGCTTTCACATGCCATTCAAACTGTATTTGTAACTCCACTCTTTTCTCTCCTCTTTCCTCACCTTCTCTCAGTACTCCAAACAGGTAGACGCCAGGTTCGGAGCGTATGTAGCCTGCGCTTCCCTCGTCTTTTTGTTCATCTGCTTCATTCAGATCGTCATTGTGCCGCAGTAAGTACACTTCAGTTAAATACCTGATCCTTGCAAATGTTTTCTGGTCCATTCAAACAAGCCAAAGGCTTAGAGAAGGTTTTGTTTGATAATGAATGGGAATACACTTGAGCTTTCGTACACAGAAGCTTTCTTTCATTTCGACTTTGTAAAGGTGAAGACAGTTAGTACCTGAGCAGCCAAAGCAGGGCTCTCCTCTCCCTTAGGCCCTATGTTAATTATGACATATAATAATTCTGTTTAAAATGACACAGAGCTATTTTCTATTCACCTGGTTCCCTCTCTACACCTGTGTGTTGCTCTGCAGCTCTGGGCTGATGGTTGGCTTCTATATGCTGTGCCTGGTCCTCGTGATGGCTGTCATGTTCATCTCAGCCATTTACTCCTGTTTTGGGGTGAGTGAAATGTTGGTATTGTGCGAAATATAGCCTATATCATGTTAATGTGCAATTTTTATGAAATTCTGAATAATAATAATAATAATTATATAATAAAATCTATATAAATATAATACATTTAGAGGACAAGTCTTGAGCAACATGCTTTTTTTGTGTCCGTACAACAATGCAGGAAAACACAAAAACCCTGTCCTCAGCCCTAGAATACAATACAACTTAAGACGTCCTTCACAGACCATTTCCTAACATTCTCACAGAGACATCATCGCTAAATCCAAGTGTTTATCAACCTTCAAATTCTCCACTAAAACAATCTGAGCGGGTTTGATTGATTTGGGGCTTTTAGCTGCGTAACTTTGAGCTGGTCTCCAGAGACAGTGAGTCACACAGAGCAAAGCCAGAGACACAATAAAGCGCTGGCAGCTCGTTTGTGCACACTGAGGGGGAGCTGTCACTGCATTGCTCAATGGGCGGCAAGGGGCGTCACAGGTCTTTCCTTAGAGATGCTGTGGAATTAGATTCTGAACTTCCTGACCTGTGAAAAGTCTTTCATAAAAGCCTGTTCTACAAAATCTCTGCAAACCAACGAGATCAATAAGGTCTTTATCTTATGTTTTATATACACTACCGCTCAAAAGTACAGGAGTTTCTTATGCTCATCAAGGCTGCATTTATTTGATCAAAAATACAGGAAAAAAAATAATATTGTGAAATATTATTATGATGTCAAATAAAGTTTTTCTATTTTAATATACATTAAAATCTAATTTATTCCTGTGATGCAAAGCTGAATTTTCAGCATCATTACTCCAGTCTTCAGTGTCACATGATCCTTCAGAAATCATTCTAATATGCTGATTTATTATCAGTGCTGGAAACTGTTGTGCTGCTTAATATTTTTTTGGAACATGTGATACTTTTTTTCCCAGGATTTTTGATTAATAAAAAGTTAAAAAGAAGAGCATTTATTTAAAATAGAAATCTTTTCTAACAATATACACTACAGTTCAAAAGTTAGGGGTCAGTAAATTTTTATTCTTTTTTTTTTTTTAAGAAATTAAAACTTTTATTCAGCAAGGAGGTGTTAAATTGATAATAAGTGATAGCAAATATTTATATTGTTAGAAAAGATTAATATTTTGAATAAATGCTGTTCTTTTTTAACTTTTTATTCATCAAAGAATCCTGAAAAAAGTATCGGTTTCCAAAAAAATATTTTTTTTTCAGTTTCCAAGTATCGCAGTTTCCAAAAATATGGCACAACTGTTGCCAACATTGATAATTCTAATAATAAATCAGCATATTAGAATGATTTCTGAAGGATCATGTGACACT